TGTAAATAGCTATAGCTTAGGGATCTGTATGTAATTTATTATTGCTTATTAGTCCCTCTCTAATCCTATAAATAGAGGGCTCATCTAGTCTTGTAAACACATCTTATATAATACCAATTCGGTTTCACACCATTTTCAGAACACATCAAATCGTGGGGTTATGAAAGGGGTCCGTATGTTCCTCGGAGGTCGCAGATGGATCTCGTTTTTTCCGATAACCGACAATGGAAGACCGACGAGGGGGGGAAGACGGTGATGGAGGGGGGATGTGATGTGAAGAACGGAGGGCATAGTTGGAAAAATGAACATCTGAATGGTTTAGTGAGGTAGTAGATGCAAAATGGTTAAGAGGTTATTGTAACCATTAGGAGGGTTGTTTTTTCTTTTGCCAAACAGACCTAACCTCTTACCGATTAAGAGGTTGGCTCTTAATGTAACCATTAAGAGCCAAAGAAACAGCCCCATAGAAGATTAACTCTGAATGATCAATTCAGAGTTAGAGATAGATGATTTTCAGATCAAAGGCTTCTCAGAAACGAAGACTTCTTCTATGATGCTAGAACATGTGTCAATATGTAATTAGCTTGTCATATAAATCATGTAACTGTTCTTTCCTGTTCTAGTATAAATAGGAGTTAATTTGTGTAAATATATTCAATACTTCAATTGTATGGATTTCTCTCATCAGATTCAATTGTAAACAATCTTTGATATTCAATATACATGATGACTGCCTTGATCCAATACTTCCCTTGTTAATATTATTCTGTGTTTTTACATTCTTGACTAAGATTCATACCATGGGACTTACAGTACCTCCTTTGAAAAAGAATTTCTTTAGTTATGGCCTAGAATGGCATTTACCTCCTCTATCTTTGTTGTTCTACCTTAGCGTTTGTCTTTTTATTCATTTGCTTTCAGTGTTGAGGCGTGTGCGCTTCAATGATAGAAATTGTATAACTACCTGACCATGAACCAGGTATGATCAAATATAATTCATCATGGATAATTTATTGAAACAACTATTGGACTTGCAGCTTTATAGAATCATTTAATAGAAATTACCTGACCATGAACCGTGTTGATCCAGGATCTCCTTGCCTTCCTGCTCTACCACGAAGCTTTGTAAAAGGAAAAAAGAAGTATCAATGGTGGTTATCTGTACCGATGCGGTCTATCCAGTTTCTATATCATCATAAATCAGATCTAGAAGGCATATGCCAACTTAGAAAAGCTAATACCTCGGTTTTTTGTTAACTATGGATAGATAACTGAAAAAATAAAGCTTGTGCAGTTTAAAAGAGACTGTAACAAAAAAAATATATGCATAATTGTTTTGAATCAAAATTTAGTTTTGTCCAAATCCTGTTATGTTGTCACCAAGTAAAACAGAAATCTAATCATCAAACCCGAACAAGCTCGTACCATTCCTATATCTGAATCACCTAGATAGCAGCATGTAATTGCCAACAACTCATTTGACATCAGCAACAACAACAAAAAAGAAGCGGACCACAAATTCTCGGGCAAGCAACAAGTTAGAGGGGAAGGTCGAGGAAATGAGCCAAGCAGCTGAGACGGGCCATAATGGCTTTAGACATTTCAAAAGAGATGACCTCAGTTAGAAGTACGGGAGACGCAGGATTAAGGTTGTAGATTTGGGTCTAGGGACTTGTGGCTTATGGGGACAAGAGTGGGTGGGGGAGAGCTAGAGGTTGGGTTTGTTAGCTAGAGAGTGGGAGGAAGGTTAGAGTGTCCTCGGCTAGATAGCATAGTACCAAGGTGGACAGCTAGGTATCAAAGCCCTAGGTTGGAAAAGGGGCTTTTGTAAAAAGCAGCTCTTTGATTCACGTTGTTTGTTTTACTGTCACTTCGTCTTTAGTTAGTTTAGTGATTTCATCCCTTTCCTTATGCCTTCAAGGTCCTTGTGTGCGTTATTATTTTTCTTGACTTTTTCTACAACTCTTCCTTTACCTCTTTTCATTAGCTAATTTTTCTCTATCTTTTCTTTCAACCTTTTGTAAACCTTTTGGGATCAATATTTCTTTGCGAAGTCCTTTTTAAAAACCATTTTACAAGTCGAGGGGCTTCACAAGAATAGCCTCTCTACTCCTAGGGGTCGAGGTAAGGTCTGCGTAAATTCTACCCTCACCAAACACTACTTTGTGTGGGATTCACTAGGTTTGGTTGGTAGGTTTTTGGTGGCATTAGGGGATTGTCATTAAATATCTTTCTAGCTTAGCATCCTTAAGAAGCACAAGACAGCTACTATTAAGGCGAAGGTATGCAATGAAAGGAGGGTCCACATAGGATGCCGAGAGAGAGGGTCATGGTAGAATGTCAGAGCAAGGCCATGACAAGCTAGAAAGCAACAATTAAGACCCTGATTCATACTGCAGAAGCCAAAACTAAAACATTGACATAACATCAGGGTTTAAACACAATACACAGCCACTGAAAGAATCCGTTTTTACATGCACGAACAAGAGCCATTCATAGTGCTACATCGCTGGTAGTGAAGGCCACAACATATCATGGCAAAGCCAGCAAGGTCCCAGTAAAGAATATGAAACCCTTTAACAGAGATGGCAAGGCGAAAAAAAGTAAGTAAAGAATTTGTTTCTACATGCACCATAGTTGTTAAAAGCATGCCTAGGCTCTGAGGCTCATAAGGTCAAGGTCTTGGTTTTTTTTCAAGTCGAGGCTCGGCGTATTCAAGAGGCTCAATAAGGCACTGGGCCTTGGCTTAGGCGCCTTGTTGGCGTAGGTGTGCCTCATAAAGAGTTATTAAATACTTAGTTAAACCCCAACATCAAATAAGTTTTCTCATCTTCTCATCCCCTAGACTTCGAAAAGAAGTGTTAATAAATAGAGGACGTAAGTCAAACCCTAATATTAAATACCCAGTCCTTAGAACTTCAAGCCTCCTTCTCTATAAATACCCAAGCCTTAAAGCTTTCTCCTTCACGGCCCATGACATAAGGTAGAAAGGCCTTGACTAATCACGAGAAAGGTGAAGGCGGTCAGAGTGGTAGTTTGGTAGACCATAATCAGAGATCTAGGGTTCTCCTTCACGGCAATGTCTAGGTTCCATAATAAGGTCCTGGGAGTTGATATAGGGTTCTCCAAGAGAGTTGGTGGCCCTAGAGTTCAAATATGAGATCAAAGTGTTGCAACAGGCGAAGATGACCTAAACATGATCTCTGCAAAATGAAGGGGAAGAGTGTCTTCCACGTCAGAAGTCGATTGAAATAAGAGCAAATTTAATCATGCAAAAAATTATTTGTGGGATGGTAGCAATGGAACAACTTTTTAACAAAAAACATCAACCTTTGGCAAGGCATGACAGATTGATATTCAATGGCAACACAAACAAAATTGTATCATCATGGCAGAATCATGTTCACTGTTATGGTACAAGTAGGTAAATCAGGGTGGGGGAATCAGTCAGTATAAATAGGGGGGCTAAGATCATGAGAGGGCATCAACCAGTTAAGTATTTTGCTTTTAGGCGAACCCCTCGGGAGAGATCTAGCCTCTCGAAAGCTAGAAAACCTACTTTAATCATCCAATTGATACCAAATTCTGTTCTCTTCTCTCAATTTGGTCTGGTGTTCATCAATTAGTATCAGAGCAATGACGATTTGGGATGAGATGGAAGCAAAATTAATGAAATACAGAAATACATAGTTTCTATGAACAAGATGAAGAAAATGATGGAAAAGTCTAATTAATAGAAGATGACAAGCTGGAGAGGTCGATCAAAGATGGATCGTACTTAGATCTCGGAAGGAGTACAAGAATTCGAAGCAACGGAGTTAAGATAGGCAAAAATCCAGATCCGACAATGAGTCCAATATCAAATGTGAATCCAAATCCATATCTGAATCCAAATCCAAATCTAGATCCGTAAATGGATCCAAAATCAGATCCAAACCTGAATTCAAATTATGARTCTGCGACTGCTATGGATAATGAAACAATGGAAGGAGAGGATGGTGATTATCAACACAATGATGAGAGGAAAAAAAAGAAGAAAATTTGGACAGAGAAAGAAAAGRAAAAGTTACAAAGAGTAGAAGTCGTTATAGCAAGAACTTTCTGTGGTGAAATTCACAATGAACCGCCAACTCGACACCATTACCATTTGACCTTCACCACCCCTCTTYGATTCCCTGTTCTATTGTGGAGGCAAGGCAACATGGTTTGATAGTTCCTTATTTGGAAACAGGAGGCTAGGGACGACGATGRCTAAGAACCGGAAGACATCTTAATTTTTCCCAACGTCAAAGAGACAAAAGGCAGCTGAGTTTGGGAGCTCGCCTACAAGAAATTGCAATCGCAACTGAAGCGAGTTTCAGAGATTTTTGTTCCTAAGTTAGGCCATGGCACATTAGCATGAGTTTTCAAAATGGGATACAYGTGGAAGTTCCTGAGAARAAAAGTCGACATTTAGTGGATTCCTCTCTACGAAGGTGGAACTTTTAAAAGTCCAGGGTCAGTAATTTGGGGATAAAAATGAGGCAATTTGAAGGGATCTGGTTACGCAATGTTCATGGGGAACTAAAAAATGAGGCAATTTGAAGGGTCAGTAATTTGGGGATAAAAAATGAGGCAATTAGAGCTCGAGATTCTTCGGTCATGGCGTCTTGCCAATGTGGATCAGAAAGGGCTTTGATGTGTAAAGTTGGTATGGGAGATATTGTAGTTTGGGTAGTATGTAGGTTAACAGGAGCTTGAGATTATGATGCTCGGGAGCGGGTTATCATGGGGCAAGTTAATGCGGGTGGTGGTGGCGACGGGGGAGATGGTAGAGGTGGTGGCGTTGGGTTTGTAACAGGTGAGGAGGGCTACGCGGGGGGGGGTTGGGGTGACTGGTGGCTCTGTATTCGGCGGTGGTAGGTATGGATAAGACGGGGCTGTTGAAGAGTGGTAAACGAGGGAAGTGTTTTGGGCAGAAGAGTTTTGGGTAGCTACGCTGTTAAAATCGCAATATATCGTCGATATATACGATACCGGACCTAGGCAAAAAATCGCTGCAGAAATATCGGTCCCGATAATATCGCCGATATTTACCCATATTTTGATGTATAAATCGGTCCGATATATCGATTTTTTAGCGGACAATTATTTGGGTTTTTCTTATTTCAGGGGCTTAGTTTTTTGGGCTTGGTCACATATATTATGTCTCAAATTAAAAGTCTGGCTTCTTTTCTAACGTCTCCCTTCATCTTCACATAAATCACGCCCACGGTCTTCTTTTCTTTTCATCAACACGACTTCACAGACACGAGTTCACGACTTCTCACGGTTTGGCTTCTTTCTTTTCTCGGTCTCTCTTCTTGGTCTCCTTACTTACCAAGTTGCTACAGCCACAGCAGCAAAAGGCAGCAACCGTTGAATGTTGATACAGCTGACAGCAACAGCAGCCACAACTATTGAATAATTGATACAGCGCTTCAGCAGCAAGTCAACAACTGTTAATCTTGATTCTTGGTCCTTGTCCTCTCCTCGTCCTCAACACAGCCTCCTGAGTTCCTGGTCAACTCAGCCTCCAACAGTTCCTCAACACAGCCTCGTGACTCCCTCAACTCAGCCTCYAACAGTTCCTGGTCCAGGTCTTACTCTTATGTCCTAATTCCTAAGTCCTAACACCCACCCACTCACTTAATTATTCTTATTTGACTTAGTTAGAACTTAATTACCATAATTTACTTATTTTTGTTGTTAAGGCTTAACTAAAATAAGCAATGGAAAGTAGAGAAGGGGGTCAATCTTCAAGGGCATTTGTGACCCCGATTACACAACCTCATGGTTTGAAAAGAAAGCGTGCTAGTGATGTTCACGGGCCTCTTATACTAGTTTGTCACCGATAATGGGTCCAACTTTAAAGCTGCTTGAAAAATCTTAGAAGAACAACATCCTCAGATGTTTTGGACACCATGCGCAGCACATTGCGTGAATCTTATGATAGGAGATGTCGGCCGAAGATTAAAAGTGTGTTAGTTGATGCGAGAGCGGTAGTGGTTTATACTTATAACCACGGAAGGATTTTGAATATGATGCGAAAGCTTACTAAAAATAGAGAACTGCATAGGTCATGTGTTACAAGGTTCGCAACACAATTCTACACCATTTAGAGC